AAAAGGGTAACAGGGCACTACTGAGGGAGTAAGAGAATGACCCATGCCCACTTCACCCCTCAAGGAAATACAAGCCAAAGCCCGGACCTGGGCGTGCAAGTCATCCACCTCCCCCAAGGCTTCGCCTGCAATGTAAGGGAAACGGGACGGCTTTGAGGGAACAGAACGGCGACCGCATGCTCCAAACCCAAGACTTTAGACGTCAAATACACAGAAATGTCCGGAATATCGCAAGGATCCTCAGTGTTCTAGGGATGGCTTGTGGCTGATTTGCTTGACATATCTTGACATATTTGGGGAATTCAGCGTACCACTGGCAAGAGCAACCCATTAGGCATCAACTAAAGCCTCGGGATGGAACACGCAATCATGTAAATTGTGCAAAGAGCAAGGCGCTTGTCAAGCGAATGTATTCAAAACACGATGAAGATCCCTGTCACGCATCGCCGATCCACGAAAAGGGGTTTCCTTAAACGATGTGCAGAAACGAGGCCCTTCTTGCCAAGTCACCCTGCACTTGTCATGTTTGCACAGCTTCCAGCCAAAAGCTAGCAGAGCTAGCTATTCCAACCCACGAGAGATCCCAACAAGTTATCCCTGAAGGCCACTCACTTTGCCTGAGCCAAAAAGCCCCCCTGCCCAGAAGGGTGGGCTTTTTCGATTTCTTGTCCATCCGTGAACCTTCAATTCCCAAGACATTCAACTTCCGACCTGGGCAAACTGCAGTCCGCTGCCCGCCTAGGCGCCGAATCTCCGCCTTTGCCTCCAGCCGCACAAATTTCTCATGACCCTCTGGCAACCCAGCAGGAAACCGGGTGACCTTCGGGCTATCACCATACTGGACCTGTGGGATTCTATTGGATTTCTATGACCCGAACGCTCCCGATTGATTTTGGGCCTTCAAACCGCCAGGTCTTGAGACCCCAAAACCCCCAAACAGGTGTCCAATGGAGGGTCTGGGTCCATTGGAAGCCGAAGCCAGCGTCTAAGCCCAAACCCACCGACGCCCTCGCGCCCGCCGCGCCCGCCGCGCGCCGATTCCTCGCTTCGGGGCCCGCGCCGCAGCGCAGCGCTGCGCCCGGCGCGAGGCCGTGGCCTCCAGGACCCCCAGCTGCGCGCTGAGCCTCGGAGCGTGGCCGCTCGGGCCAATGGCTTCGGGTGGGCAGCGGCTTGGAGAGGCTGGCCCAAGGCGGCGTTTCACGCCCAGCCGAACTGGTCTAGAGGTTGTATCAAAGCTATAGTGGTCTGTATGACCAAGGAAACCGCGTGCAACATCAGCCCATAATATGACCGATTGCAAGTACGCAATGCGCAGCATGTTGATTGGCCTTGCTGATCGAGATGTGTTTTCCGTCCATTCCATTTCCATAAAGTGCAGCCCATGTCGCATGCAAGTGCTGTTTGGTCCTGACCGAACAACGCTTCCCATTCAAAGGAATGAAGGAAGGGTACCCGTGCTTCCTTTTGGCTTTCTGGGAAATTTCACGTTTTGGGAAGCAGGGACATGGACGTGCTTAACGGGCTATTTAGCACCCCTAGGGTACCTCCCCAGCGAATGTTGACCTCAGATCAATCAACCCCTGTTTACTAATATGGGGATGTTCCCCTCCAAAAGTGATGAATCCCCCACTAAACCCCGGGACACCCCCCCCCCAGAATAAACAGGGGTTTATTTATCCGGGGTCAACATTACTTGGCTGACGTTGGAAGGGGAGCAAACACTTGAATCTTGGCAGTTAAGTGGGGATTTATTTCCCACTAAACCACAATAAGCAAAAATGTAAAAGGCTTCCCAACCACAACCATGATTAAGCTCCCAGGCGTCTCGCGTTTACCCCCCCAAAGTTTTACAAAAACGGACCCTCGCCGCACCGAAACCAACTGGGCACCGCAGCTCCTCCACCTCCTGGCGGACCTGGAGGCTCCCGGGTGGGATGGGTGGGTGTTCATCCATGGAATTGGTCCATCGGTATGTCGTGGTTGTGGAACATGTCCCCCTTTTCGGCTACCAAAACACTGGTGCAAAGCAAGGGCAACTTCCAGAACAAGAAATATATATATATATTTGTTCTATGTAGATATTCTGATGATACCTAAAGTGCTGTATCCCCATCATGCGTGTTACTGCAAACAGGGGGTTCCCTTGAGTATCACAGACGATTGGCCAAGCCCCATTTCCCGCAACTATGAAACATGTCTGGAAGCATGAATTGACACTTGTCGTTTTGCTGAAAGATGATTTATTCGGATTTCAATTTGGTGAGGGGGGTAGAGGTACAAGACTCCCCCCCCTTGAACAGTGCTCAGATGGAAACCAAACACAAGTACAACCTGCACCCTGAGAAACGAAAACGGATGCACATGCTGGACATGGTCGACGTTGCTGAGTGATGCGCGAAGCATGGGGATGTGTTCTGAAAGACGAATTCATTCATGTGGAAAAGTGTCGATAAGTTCGATAAGTGGGTGTGGCTCAAAATTAAACAGGAGGGGTTACGCAGGCTTTGGTCCATGTTTCTACTTCCATGTTTCGCTCTCTGCTCTCAGGTCGCTTCACTGTACGCCAGGACCCGGGCCTGGGGTTTTGGTCTTGTGGCCTCAATTTCTGGATCTCTACTCGCGCACACAAACCTGGAACAAAGCGGGGCACTCCCACAGGGCTTTCAGAATGGAGAGCTTGTCTACAAGTGGCAACCCTGTCCATTGAATTATGGTAAGCGCGTGCGGAGTGCGGAGCATGTAAATCTGACATTTCTCGGGCAGCCCAGCTTGATGTGGCGTGTGTTACGCATGGAGCCCTTTTTGGGTGTCATGCTGATCTGTACCCTGCAAATGTTGAGTCTTTCCTTCGGATGGCAGCTTCGAAACAGTGTCGTTTCCTCGGTCCGCTTCTGGCTTGTAACACTCGCAAAGGTTACCTGTTTCCACCATTCTGATAGGCTTTTGTGCTTACATGTTAGCCTGTCAAGGAGCAGCAACCTCCAAACACACGTTTATCCCCTACATAGATAGGCTGCTTAGGGTTCTATTAGTTGATTTCATCGGATCCGGTAAGCAACTCACCCACGCAACACGCCTTACCTCTTGCTCTCTCTCTCTCTCTCTCTGCCTGCGCATGACGCACATCCTCCGCCAGCTCGCCCGCCACCACCTGCTTCCTCGGCGGCAAACACAGCGTGGGTGACTCATCATGTTGACCCAGGACTAATAAACCCCTGTTTATGAGTATGGGGGTGTTCCTGGTTTAAGTGGGGATTTATCCGGGAAACACCCCCTTATTAATCAACCAGGGGTGTATTAATCCGGGGTTAACATTACCAAAACAGCTGCATCCAAGCAATGAGTCCAAAAATTCGCTTTACCCCCCGAATCGGCGAACTCGGCAAAACACAATTAGGTACATGCGTGAGTTGCTCCTTGTTTTTGACCCCCAAACGGATTCCCCAAAGAAATGGATGCGAAAAACGGGGTACTCCCCCGCCACCCCAGTACTGGACCCAGGGCCACTAGCCACTAAGACTATGCTGATCCACTACATACCCAAACAAGGACAGTCCGCTGATTGTGGACACGAGTTGTTTGTTTGCTTCTTTTCCCCCGTTTGCGACTAAAGCCTCCAACACCCAAAGACGTTTTCGGGGGCACAAGGGCAAAGGCCACGGTTTTGCTTTACTCCGTGGCTGCTGCGCAATCCGTCTGCCTGATGTTCTTTGCTCGGTGTCCCTCTCGCGGGAAAATCCGCGTCAGAATCCCCCCCCCCCCCGCCCCAAAAGCTTCAGGTTGTCACCACCCAGCGATCCCTTCAACCGCGCCCCAGGCCATGCGGTCTACTTGTAGGGCTGCAAAGATTCAGGGCGAATCATCCAAGTTGACAACTCCCTGTGATTGACCAAACATGGACAACGTGCCGGTGCTCGTTCTGAAGACAATATGTCCAGGTGCTATCTGCTCAACGGCTAAACTGGCACACAACTTGCGCATGCGAAAGAAGCACTTCCAAAGCTCCGAGATTGAAGGAAAACCTATCCCTAGGAGCACAAGACCCTACATATGAGGGCGTGCCCCCAAAAACCCATAGAGGTCTTGGGCCATGGATATTCAACGACCAGGTTGACCCTTTGGGGCCGTACGCATGGGCAACAAAAAACACAACCCCAGCGCTTCTTTCAAGCTCCGCCTGGAACACAAAAATCGACGCCCAGGCGCTCGCTGTCCAGATCCTCCAGCAGCTGCAGCAAGGATGCCTGCCTGGCGCATGTGAAGGGCATTTAATCAACTCCTTGAACCTCCAGTCATGAGAAACAAAAAAAACTAAACAACCTGTTTCTTCGGATCTGGTCTTGAAAAAAGAAAAAAGAGCAGCACTGGAAGTAGGGAGTCAAACACAACCTTGATTCTTGCAGGGTTGCTTTAAAATGGGTTACCCAATGCTCTGATTGCTGTCTCGCTTTTGATCCTTCAGCGCGTCCACTCAAATCTATCCAACGAATCGAGCCAAAAGCCGTGGTGCTGTACACTCCATGATGGCCGCTGTTGAGTAACAATTCACTAGCATACCCAGCCAAAACAGAAATCACGTATATTTGGACATGTAAACCAGGAGATGGATAGGAATCCTCCGGCGGTCCATGTGCTGGCTTGTTGCTTACCATGAAACACACCGGTAACCTAGATGCCTAGTTTCCAAGATCAAATGCTGCCGAAAAAACACCCAGCACATGAACCGGCCTACCAGGGGGGGCAGCCACCCTCCGGACCTGATACCTCGCTCGCCAAAAGAAGGAAACATGAAACAAGTACAGTAAGTCCACCTCGTGTTTATGAAAAATTGGTCGAGGTCTTCAATTTCCCTCCCACATCTTTCAAATGGAATCTACACTTCCGGACCTCTGCATTCCACCGCCGTCCCTCCATCGGGTTTTCGGGCGCCTTTTGAATGGCAAACACGCCATAAGCTCTCGATGGACCTCGCAGGGGAGCAATGACGGGCCAAGTGATCCAACTGTTCTCGTGGGGTAGTTTGACATTTTGATTCTCTGTATGAATCTTCTGGGCAATTATTATAATTTACCAACCTTCAAGGAATCCCGAAGAGCCTTCTTCATGAGGTGAGACGTTATACTTAGTGCAAAATAAAATATCCTGTCCGTTTTGCGGTGTGTTTGCTTATGGGTCTGGCTCCGCACGGGTTCCAGAAGCGAGAGGAAGCCAAGACGCTGGATTCAACGCAAACTGTGGGTCAAACCTCCCGAAGCGTGGGTCATGCAGTAATGCTTCCCATAGTGGGTGGGTGGGCAATACAAGGGGCTAAGTAATTTCAATGGGGGGGGTATCACCATGGGGCAATACTAGCAATTTGGGGTCTGATGGTGGCAACAAACTTTGGCGCCGGCTCTGATGGGGCTCCAGGGACCTCACTTTGATCATCGCCCATGTGCCGAAAGCTGAGCTTCACATGGTTGTCTTGCAAAACCCGCGACGCGCACACAAAAACCCATGCATCCCACAGCTACGCACGTAAGCTGAGCTTGGAACCAGCCATGTGCCCCACTGCGATCTGGACCACGTGGCCCCAAAATGGAAACTATACCTAAACAAAAAAAACAAAAGGATGCACAGAGTCCAAGTGGAAAAAATCAGGCGGCCATGGGGCAGCTAGAATAAATCCCGCTGAAAATCCGTCCCAACTGCAGCTGGTCCATCCAGTTCCTTGGGTTTCAAAGCGCTGCGCGAGGGGGGCTGAGGTCCCACACATATCAACATTTGCACCATTTGCAGGATATATCTTTATGTATATATATAGATGTAGATATATATATATATATGTATAGTATATTAAGGCAAAATATTACATACATGGAAAGATGGAGTGTGTGGAATTTATGACAGTAGGTAGAAAACTGAGCGTCACCTGTCACTTGGCCCCATAACCTCAGACCCATTCCCTGTCGCCGGATTCTGAGCGGTGATGCGCGGCTATTTTCCACCGGAAGCAAACCAGCCACGCGAAAGGTTGAGCCAGTAGCGCAAAAGACATCAAGTCAGCGGGGTTATTCCTCCCAGTGACACGGCCCCTGCACAAAACTGCAAGACATTCTCAACCAACTAGGGACCCCCTTAGCCACGCAACATGACACTAAAGTCTTGCCTTAAAATGGGGCCCTACTCGTGCCAACCTGACTGTTGTCGCCTTTTCGTTGGTTTTCAGAAAAGGCCGCCACGAAAAAGCCAGCCATTGAAGTTCTTCATTCCACTTACTCGAGTGACAGACATTTGCCCAGGCGGAATGTGGTGGAATCGGAATCCAACCAAGCAACCAGAGTGCGCATATTTAAACAAACACCCCCGGTAGGTTCGCCGCTCAGCAGGCCTCTTCTGCCGGATCCTCGACATCATCCACGAGCAAGGCACCTGCTCGTTGCATACACTCCCGCAGCCACAAGCGGGCGTCGTAAGCCACCCCGCGTCGCGTTAAGTCACCCCAGCCATCCCCAGCCGCTTAGCTACGTCACCCCGCGTCTTGAGACACCCCAACTTTTGCAAAACGCAATCGGCACAGAACTGGAAGGGCGGTGTTGCCAACCTCAAGAATTGACCGCGCACTGCACGCACATGCTCAAAACTCACTGGTTTGGTTCATGTTGAAAGCTTTCCCGGGCAAAACCCAATTGGGCACACGACAATTCAAGGGTTCCTATAGTATGTTCGGTCAGTTCTTTTCAAGGCCGAAGCGTTCAACTGCTTAACTAGTCATATGCCGCCCGCCGCTGCTATTCCTTTTGCCATCACCCCCGGTCTTTCATGAAACAGGTCACTTTGCCTTTGCATCTGCTTTCTTTACAAACCGCTGGCTCTTTCTTTGCCTCCGGTTGTGAGGTTCGCACTTGCACGCCGCACAACTTCAAGTACTGCAGCACAAGAAGAGAGAACCACCCAGTAGCAGCGAACATACACGCATGCACACGGCACATGGAAACCAACCAAATGTTCATGTTATGAATCTGGGATCTCGTTGGCACCTTCATGGCTTCGACTGGCTTGTCAGGATACCCCGAGTAGAACATCATACATGTTGCATGCGCACACCCTGGAATTATGTGATGTCAGAAAATGACATGTTTGAGACAACTATCCTTACATCCACAAACACTACGGGCACGCTCACCCGGCACGACTTAGATCAACCCGGGACGACTTACAGCAATTACCCAGTAAAGGGGGGACCCCCAAAACAATGCGGCATCTTGTTCTTTGCAACAGAAACATGCTGGAATACACGCCCAACAGAATGCTTGCAGCAGTAATTATCATTGACTTGGGCATGTTCTCTGCCATTCACCAGGAAATCAGCAAATTGTTTCTTCAAGCAACCTTGATCCTCAAAAACTGGAATGAGTTGCTCATTTGGTAGACATACCCAGGAGATAAACCGGGGCGCAGCACACAGGCCCCACATGCGCTTTTCGCGCTTTTCACGCTTTTCGGTCGCTCCGCTCCGCCCATGCACCAGCGCCAAGCGTGGCGATTTCGCGAGCCAATTTCGCTGCACCCATGCCCATGCCCGGCTGAGAGAGCCGAGTCGTTGCCCCTGGGGAATCCAAGGGCCTGCTGCTAAGGCGTCAGAAGGAACCATGACTCTTTTTAAGACCAATGCTGTGCCAGGAAAAACTGCTGAGTACCTTCTGCGGGCCAGGGCACTGGAATGGCTCTCTTGAGGGGTTCAAGCTCCGGGGGCTGAGCCCCAAGTGCCACAAGGGATGCCTTTCATATGCCGTGTCGTACCAAGTTGCTTGCAAACGTTGATGCAAGCATATGCAAGCAGCTTGATATGTGCATGCCAACCTAGGCTTCTTTCTATGTTCAACCTAGGCTTCTTATCATTTTCAACGAACTCAACAACTTTCAGCCAGGGTTGCTTGAGGGTTGATGTTCCCCAGAGCTCTTGACCCACGGCCATGAACCATTGCGAACCTTGAGCAACGCTGCTTCTTTGCGGTGGCTTCAGCTGAAGGGTTGATATCGCATCTGCCAAAGGGCGCTTTTGGGACAAAAAGAAGAAACAAACAAACACCTCTTTGCTATGTGCGTTGCCGTGCGGTATGGCCATTCCTTGCCTCGCGCTCCTTTTTCAAGGCAGCCGGTCATGTGTCACGCACTTCCGGAAGGCCCCCCAGTTGCCCAGTGACACTGAAACCCACCAAATTACAGGGGTCCCTGGATTTATCAGATTTCCACTGCAAGGATCGCCATTGTTCAAGGCCCAAAACGGGGGGCAGATCGAGGGACCCTCTAAATTAAAGCGGGATTGAAAGGGAATCCACTGAACAACTGGGGCCTCATCTTCTTCGAAAGGGACCCATGGGCGCTCCCTCACTGGCTTGACGGAGGAGCCATGCCCGGAGGAGCCATGCCTGGAGGAGCCATGCCTGGAGGAGCCATGCCTGGACAAGTCATGAATGGGTTCGCAACATGCTGGACCCGAAAGATGTTCTTTTTCCGGTTGGTTTGCCTCAAACAACGCCCAATAAAAAGTGCCCTCAACAAAAATGACCACCCATAAGAGCAGCGCCCACGACCTTTTAACTGTTGGTTGGGGGTGAGTTTGAATTCGGAACGCTTTGTGGGCATCATTCAAGAAAGGATCCGTATCTACCAACATGAACAATGTTCCCTTTGGCTTCGTTTGAACAAACAAACAATAGCGGGTACCCTCAAAGGAAACAGAATAAGCTTATCTATAGAACAAGTAATTATGTATTCCCATTGTATTGCAAAATGGCGGTGGGTGTTGACTTGCGCGCATAATTATGCAAATATCTAAACCTTCATGGTAAAATGTAGCATGGGCACCACATGTGTAAAAGTGCTTGTGTACATGTGTATGTCTGTCTAATATTCTGTGGACACTTCCAAATGGCCATCAGTTATCATCTGTTCTCGTATATTTTCCGTTTCGAACCATTCCAAAGACCACCATAGCTCCGCAACGTCCCCATTTCTCGGCTGATTTGAAGCACAACCAAATCACCAGCCTTTGAAAAGGCCCGTCTTGACGCCAAACCATGAGAAAGTCATAATGCGATGGGAGAAGGTCCGGAGGCTATTCGAAGTCCAAATGGCACCACTCGATCTCTTCTCAACATGCCCAGTGACAAAAGCGAATGCTGCAAACACCTCCAGTGCCGTGCAACCGTACCAGGGGACGGGCTCCCTGGAAAAAGCCCGTGTTTCCCGCTTGCGGCTGCACCCTAGTCTCAGGGTCCAGAATTGGAATGCCGTCACATTGGCCTTTTCCGCCTGGTGGATGACTTGAGGATTCCCTTTTCAGTTCTCCCTTTGGTCGCCCTCTGGAACCTCCCATCCCTGGCATAGGGTGCTCCCATGCCTCAAGGGCGAGCCGGTCGGACCTCGATGGACCTTTTTGTTAGGGGGGGCGGGGGGGGGGGGGCGGTCAAAAGGTCGCGGAAGCCGGGCAAAATTGAAAAATGGAACCCTAAATGAAAAAGTAGACTAAAACATGGCGTAACTCAATTTACCCGTTTAATTTGAGCCACCCATTTCCAGCCGAAAACCGGCCCCAGTTCCCTTCCCCTCCCGTTCCCACGCCTTGCATGCCTGGAGGCATGCCCGGCAACGGGATCAGGGGCGGGGGTGGCCAGGGCGGGTGCTCCAACCTTGGTCCAAGGACCCAGCAAAAAAACAGCGCGAGACGAACATCATCAAACATGCCGATGTAGATATGAAGACCTGTACAAATGTCCTCAATAATATCGTTACAAAGAACACGAAGCGATACTATGCCTTTCTGCATATTCTATACATATGTATATATGCTGTATATGGTGTACGTATGTGTATATGTTATAATGTGTATATGTATATATATATATATATATATATATATATGTATATGATATATGTATATGGTGTGCGCTTGCTGGCCCATGGACATCTACAGTGGGCCACGTCTTGCTCAATAATTTGCTCCTTGGCTGGTCAGTGGAAACGAGCCGGACATCTCAAAAGTCAGTCGGGCAACATCATCATCAGCTCCCTCTGGTACGCCTCCACCATCAGCTTCCGCTGGGTCTTCCTGAGCCGAGTGCGAATGCAAACCCTACCAAGTGCTTTTTCCTTGTTACCCTCCGACCAATTAACATGGAACCTGAAAGGGGGTCCTTCAAGAGGAAAATGGTCTTCCAACACCTCTGTCAGGTTCCATGTTGATTGATAGGATCCAGCCCCTTCAAGAGCAAAATAGTCTTCAATCTCCCCACCGCTGCCAAGTTCGTGGAAGGAAGGCTACATTCCACACATGGCCTTATCCATTCCGGGCCTTGTTGGCCCATCTCAACCAGGAGAACCAAACCTAGTTCACCCCTCCCCCCCCTTGCTTCCAGCGACGGCTCTCCTATCGCGTCCAAGGCCATGGGCTTCCATCAGCAAAACAGCCCCCACGAAGCTAAGCCACGGAGCAACCTGGAAGGCCTTTTCATGTCCCATGCCCCGAAATGGAAGCCGGAAAAACCCGAGTCCGGGTCCAAGTAGCCCCCAGCCCGGCTCCCTTAGATGCAGCCAGCGCGTCAAGTGTTGCCAGCCGAAGTAAGCTCCGCAGTAGGACACCCCAGGCACAAGCAGTTGTACCGTGTGCATCAAGTTCCTGAGTTGCAACAGGGCAATTACCAGTGCCCCTCATGTCTTTCACATTGATTCGAAGCGAGAGCGAGTGTTTCCCAACGGGCCAGAACCCTCAAAAAATCAGGGTAGGGAAAGCGGGTGATCATGGCGTCAAAACAATGCCAGTCCGCTGTCAACCGAAGGGATGGTAGTTGTCCTTTTGGTTTCCCATGAAGCAAACCTCAACAACGGCACCCCCCATAAATCGGGTTCCCTACATTTCCCCTTGAAGCATCCCCCCGCCAAACGGACACTCAAACTAGCCCCAAAAGGTGATGATTGAAACCACCAAAAGGAGAGGCAACCCCAGAAATACAAACCAAAAAAAGCCCCTGAAACTTGCCCATGCTCTGTAGGGAATGAGGGAATGAACCTGATAAACCATGCCTTGCGGTTTGCTTTAAAGGGGACCCCTGGGTTCCTTCCCTCATTCCCTACCTATCAGGAAAACTCAGCTGAGGTGCACGGACAAAGGCAGCGACAGCTGGATGGAGGGGAAGTTGTGCAGCAACAGATTCTGCACCAGGTCGATGTGACCCATGGTGCCGTTGATGAACGAGATCAATACCTGAAAGCTCCAAAAGGCTATGCGTCTAAATAAGGCACTCTGCAAATGGTGTGTCGTTTGACGGATGCCATTTTGGCTTTGTTTCAAATGAGGGAACTCCAAACAAATAATGCTGGTTTACTGGCGGTTTTGTCTTCAAGCCAACCATGAGCACCACTCTGCACTTGCCTCATTCCTTCCCTGTGTTGGTCAGGAAAAGACCTAAGTCATCACAAGTTGGACTGAAAAGGGTCTATGCAAAATCAGTGGACACGAACGTATAGGGCAGATATCCATACCTGTTTATGGTTGGGATCATCTTTTCATCTGCAGATCAGCATGACACCCAACAATAAATACATTGCTTGCAAAGGATTCTCCTTTTCAGGGATCCCCGCAGGAGCAAGGAAGCAAATATGTCATGCTGGAAGTGGACATGTCATGCTGCATGCCAGCTTGCCCTAAATTGCATTTTCGCAGTGAAGCTAGTCAACCGGAAAGCCGGGACCGGGTACAGGTCTTTGCCCTGCCTGAAACCCACGCCTACAAGCACATCAAGCACAAAGCGACCGAAGCATCAGCATGACAAAAAAGTGCCGCCTCAGGTAAAACTAATCTGATACATGCGCGGGTCCCTATATTCCCCCTTTAAACCCACCCTTTAAGGGAAGATAAAGGAAACCCTGAGGTATCATTGGAATAGGTCCCAGTTACCACTATAGTAGGGAACCTTTCGCCACGTTTCTTTTGGTTTTGAAGGCTGGCTCCCTTGGTTACCTACAAAACCACGCAAATGGAGTTACTGTTAATAGTTTGCGACTTGGTTCCCATGCAAGTAATCCCCATCCAAATTGAAACGATCAAACCAAGACATATCGCCAAGTACAACGCAGAAGGTAGTACGGACAGCGCGGGGACCTGCTGAGCTAACAAGCTGCGCCAGGTGAGGAACAAACACTTTTTCCGCGCAGCGGCAACTTGTAATCCTTGCGGAAATTGAAGATGTAACCACCCCGAACCTAGGGGGAGTGCTTCTACTTGGCTTCTTTGGTGGTATGAGCATCAGCTTTTGGGGACCTTTTATGTGATGTTACAAGGGACCTTTTATGGGGGGACACCCGTCCACATGAGCCCAAGCTGTAGGACGCACTCTCTATTCCAGCCAGCCTTGTAATCCAAACTCAGTGTCAAACATCACAATCGTCACGGTTCGATTGAACATCATACTGTGGGGTTGAATGCATGTACAGGGTTGTCTCAAATCAGAGGAAGCCCTGGGCAAAAGTTGGTCCCTTTGGTTTCCCTTTCAAGAGCCCCAAAAAGGATACCCTCCCCAAAACAAACACGGACGCTGGACAAGGGTTAGAGGAACATTGTCTTCCAGATACGCTTCGGAATTCCCTCATGCCCGCATCAATCACGAAAGGAACAGGAACGCTTTCAGGTTCCGTGCTCACTTGGGCTTGTCTTTTGAAACCGAAAGGGTACCCTCGAAAAAAGACCCCCCCCATTTTTGTGAGGGTACTCCTTTCCCAAAGATGGAAGTGGACAGGGAGCTTCCCCAAAATTGTCATCTTCCTCAAGGTGGGCACCTTTTGGTTGGACTTTACAAGGAAAGCAAAGCAAGCCAACGATTCTGGAGTCCAACTTTGAGAAGCGCCCACAGGGGTCTCTTTTGTTGGTGCGGGCAAGCAAATTGTGGTTGCCCTTCTCGTTTGCCTTAAAAAAAGGTATCCTCAAACAAAACAGGTCCCAAAAACAACGTATCCCCAAACAAAACACAACTTCCCCCCAAAAACAACGGTATCCTCAAACAACGTATGATATCCTCCCAACAAGCACGGGTATGCTAAAAAAAAACTATATCCTCCCAAAAACAACTGTATCCTCCAAACAACAACGGTATCCTCCCCAAAACAACGGGATCCTCACGATATCCTCCCAAAAACAACGGTATCCTCAAACAAAACACGATATCCTCACAACAACACCGGTACCCTCAAACAAAACACGATATCCTCCAAAAACAACGGCATCCTCAAAAAACATACGATGTCCTCCAAAAAAAACGGTATCCCAAGCAACGGCATCCTCCCAAAAAAAATGGCAGTGGCTCAAAAAACCGGTACCAAGATCAACCCTGGTAAGTAAAAACATGGACCAAAACCTGCGTCACCCCTCCTGTTTAATTTTGAGCCACACCCCAATGGAATAAGCCCGCATCCGTGTCAGACCTCAAGTCGAGCTGCGTAGGTCTTGAGCCAGGCAGAGGCGGGCCCGGGGTGCCGCGAGTTGTAGCCCAGGGTGGCCAACAGCAGCGTGTAGGAGCCTCTCAGCTTCAGAGCTTGCGCCCAAAAACACTAGCTGGTTCTGGCATGGTGACATGGTGATTCAGAAATTCAGGGTGTGTATATATATATATATGTTCCTGGGAGCCCAAGATAGACATTGGGTTATGTGACGTGTGTTTATCTATGGCGTGTGTTTTGGTGCTTGGTTTCCAGGGAGCCCTGTTTGTGTTGGATTAAAAGGGAAGCGAGGCAACAGCATTGTTGGGGTCCCCAGAATTGACACGTATCCATATGGGCTTCTGTAAACAATCAATCCAACCAGGGAGTAGAACTCAACATGTTCGTGGATTCAGGAGGCCTTGGGATAAACAGGGCTTAGGGTCCAGGGTTGGGCAGTGCCTGAGCTGCAGCTGGGTCCAAGTCATTCGCATTCAGGGGCCATATGTAATAGTCAAAAGCCAATGTGTTTGTGTGTTTGTGTGTTCGTGTGTTTGTGTGCTTGTGTGCGTGTGAGCTTGTGTGTTGGTGTGTTTGTGTGTTTTGTCTGTGGTTGTGGGTTTGTGGGCTTGTGTGTGGGTTTGCGGGTTTGTGTGTGTGTATGTGTGTGTGTGTGTGTGTTTGTTTTTGTATGTTTGTTCTTGTGTGTGTATTGTATTTGTGTATTTGTGTGTTTGTGTGTTTGTGTGTTTGTGTGTTTGTGTTTGTGTGTTTGTGTGTTTGTGTGTGGGTGGCGCGCGGGGGGGGGGGGGTGGGGGGAATGCCACGTGTTTGTGAATGTGCTGTTGCGTGTCTTCCATGCCCCCTCCAATGGTACTTGCACGCTTCGTCTTCTTTGTGGCGCAAAGCGGTGGATCTTCCCTTTAGATTCGATTCAGCCCACTTCAAAAGGGCACCCTCCAAAAGACAAGGGGGACACTTGCCTCACTCAGATGCCCAGCGGCCATGGGAAAAGAAGGGCATCATTTTTTTGTTGAGCTGAACAGGGAACCCTTACCCCCAAAAAGAATTAAAAGGCACCACTGGGCAACAGAGCTCATGCGAAACCAACAAAGACGCTGGCAAAGGGGCCGCTGAAGAAGTCCCCCAGGCAGATCCGCAGTAGGCCCAAAGAGCCCTGGAAGAAGGTGGCCACCAGCAAGCCTCAGCGCCCACCCGGCGAAAGGTACTCGGCTCTCGAGGTCGAGTTGCCGATTCCATTTCCATGAGCCGTTGCCACCAAAACTAGGTCCTCCAAAGAGGATAGAGTAAGGGTACCTTTTTTTTTTTCTGTAGTCCATTTTAGTGGGGGAACCCTCCCCACAAAAAGGGCAAAAGGGCACTACTGAGAATATTGGATTCCCCAGGAACCCATGTATTGCCCGGTCCCAATTTGTCTTCAAGCTGCCTGGAAAGGAAAAAAAACAAAACCAAAAAAACACTGACCTTCACTTTTGCTTATTTTTTTTTGAGCAGCCCACAAGCAAATGCCACCCACTCCAAAAGCAGGACAAACCCGTTGACCTGTTCGACCTCCGTGATTTCGCGCCAATGAAACCCATGATACCAACAAGGTTCAAGATCCTGCAAAACAGCCACCAAGAATGGTCCCAAAGTCACTCCCTAAGTGGTAGGGTAGGTGAAAGGGACGAAAAGGGCCCCCACCCCAGTTTCTGACTTCGATACCCAAAAAAAACTGCTGGAAACCAGCATAAAATCCTTTCGGCTGCTGATAAACCCCTGGATCTCCCCACCAATACAACCAGCCTACGTAGTTTTTTCAGTAGAGAGGTCAGACTAAGGGTACCCTTTTTGCTGTAGTCTATTTTGTAGGGGAACTCCCCCCCCAAAAACAATGTCAAAGGGCACTACTGGGGGACCTAGCAGCGAAACTGCCGACCCCATTCCAGGGGTACCTTCCCCATTCTTACCAGGCATCCTTCTTTCTAAAAAACCACCCAATACCCATCAATACCCTGGGGAAACAGCTGGTTTTTTTGAAAAGAATGATGGTCGAAAAGAATGGAACCATGGGAATCAACCCCCAGACTCCTCGACCCATGGCTTCCGCTCACTCCCGCGCGGCGCTCACGGCACGACTCCGCGCCTCGCTGCAGGGCCTGCAGCGACAGCTCCGGCAGCGGCGAGCTCAAGTCGAAGGCCTCGAGGCGCAGTCGGGGGGCCCCAGACCTAGGGGCAGACCTCTTTCCCTAAGAAAGCGAACCCCAAAAAATACTGGGGCGCCGTGGAAACAAAGCACCAAAGAAACTCGAGTTACATGTGTATATATATATATATATGTATATGTATATGTATATATATATATACAAATATATGTATATCACATTTGTATGTATGTGTGTACCCTAGGAAGACCTCATCATCTTAGGGCTCCCAGGGGGTCAAAGGCCCTCATATTTGGGGTCTGCTCCTAGGGAGTCATAAAGTCACCCAAAAGAAAGGGGTTGTGACCCCATGTTGGAAGGCTGGAGACTCCGGGAATCCCTTTAAGACACACCCAAAAAGGGCACCCCAAGAAGACAAACCCATTTCCGAGAAACCACCACACCAAGAGCAAACCGGTTTCTGAAGGTGGTATGGGCTACCCCGATTGCAACCAGTGACCCTAGAAAAGCATAAGGGGGGGGCGTGACGATTCCATTGGTGGGCATGAACCCTTGTTCAAACATCCTCCTCTTGGCTTCCTTTAAGCGGCGAGTGGCGGTGGAAACAAATGGCGCCCAAGCTGGGGACCTAAGGGGTCAGGCTTGGGGCCGAGTCACGCAGATTCCGCGGAATTGGAAGAGCTCGCCCAGTGGGTTATGGTTGTGGTTCCTTTAAGATCTTGCCAACCTCCCAAGGGGATATGATCTTCACCTGACCTCCTTCAAGGGAAAAACAAAAAGGCAAAGGGCTCAAACACAGGTGGCTCAAACATGCGGCCGCCGGCCGCTCAAACCATTGAGACCATTTGACCCATTTGGAGGGATATATATATATATATCACCAACATGGCCATCCCCCCTCCCCCTCCCCATCCCCCCCATCCCCCCATCCCTCCCCATCCCCCCCATCCCCCCATCCCTCCCCATCCCCCCCATCCCCCCCCGTCCCCCCCCGTCCCCCCCGTCTCCCCCATCCCCCCCATCCCATCACATGGTCGCACGCAACACCTCAAAAGCCGTGGCAGTCGGCGCCTGGTCTACCCCGCAGAGCGGAAACGGGCAGAAGGCCATGGAGACGCCTTCGGCTCCCGTTCCCGCGGCCCCCGCGAAGGGCGTCATCGCCTGCACCATGAAGCCTCGAAACGTGCGGGGCGGTGCGTCGCGTCCAATTCGGCGGGGGGAATTCTGGGGGCTGATTCCTTGTCCATTCTTTTCAACCATCGTTCTCTTTTTAAAACGGCTGTTTCCCCTCAGGTTCTGATGGGTTTCTGGAAGGAAGGATCCCTGGAAAGAATGGGGAAGTGTCCCCTAAGAAAGATCTGCCTCCGAATTCCGTGCGGGCCCTGAGGGGTATCTCCAAAATGGCGATAACCCTCCCTTCATAGATATCCTTTGGATAAAATAGATGGCCCTGATGGAATGAGACCAAACACAAGTGCCGTCTATTTCTATTCAAACTAGCCTAAACGAATATTGGCCCTTGGACAGGTACCATGTTGATGTGATGCCTGGAAGAAGTTTGTTTCCTTTTGGCTTTCCGCTCATTTGGTCCACTTATGCAAGCCCACTTTACTTTGAGGCGATGGTCTTTGTTCTTCAGCGATTCTACTCTTGCACAGCTCAGAACATCGAAGACTTATATAGTGAATCTAGAACCTGACTTGGGACAAACACAATCTGAGCCCTCGGGTTGGTTATTGTACTGCCCAAGTGCACCCTTCAAATGGCCAAACTGCAATGCTTGATGCCAAAGGGGCATGCATTCGGATGCCAAAGCCGTGGACCAGGGCACGAACAAATTGACAGCGCTCCAGGATTGGCCGCAAATTACACATAGATACATATATTACGTATGCAAGTATGCCAAAAACATAGTCCCTGAACCCCCCCAACTCCCCCCCGAGCTCCCCAAGGCCACCCCTCACTCGCCCCCGCTTCCGAGGCGCTCAAAGCCTCTGCCCGCTGTGCGGGGTCTAAAGAGGCCTCCGTGGCATGGGATTCGAATAGGGAAGCCACCTCCCAAGTGGTGGACCTGACCCCCCAAACCCCCACCTGAAAGATGTCCAAGGGGTATCTTTCAACAAAACACATGCACAGATATTTGTGGGATCACCAACATGGCCATGAATCCTGATTGGAGATCCTGTGGGCATCCCTCATGTCCAGCCAAGTTGGAGGTTTCGAGAAAAAAACAAGGATTAGCCACCAGCTGGTGCAGGTTTCTGTCCGTGCACAGAAATGGGACCCCCGAATTAATCTACGGTTGATTCATAGAAAGTGTCCCATTTTTAGTGCGGACTCATCACTCTTGGAGGCCTTGATTGACCCTCTCTTTTTTTGGCGCGGGTTCCACGCAGATCTGAGGGGAACACTATCACTGAAATCGGGCACCGAACACCTTTTGATGGACATTCTCAAAACGGCCCTGTAACTGGTGGCTTAAGGGAAACATCCCCCATAGTGACTGTAGGAAGCCCTCCAAATGTTCACTTCAAGGGCCAGCCGAAGGATATCAAGCCCAAGCGGGGTCTGACCACACGTTGCCTCCGGGTTTGCAAGACCCGAATCCCAGCGAGTGGATCCACTAAACATCCCAAACAATCCATGTAACATTATATATTTATATACCCACATTTGACTCATTTGGAGGGTAAATGTGAGCATATATTTCCGTCCCACCCCTGGAAAAGGAACCTGACGTTGGGAGGCGCACCTAGGTCCTCCAGAACAGAGGTTAGAATAAGGGTGCCCTTTCTCCTGCAGTCTATTTTAGTAGTGGCAACCCTCCCAACCAAAAAGGAAACGGTAAGAGTTGGCACCTAGCTGGTGGACCTAGGCACCTACCATGGATCTGTTTGCATGTTCCATTCGCCTTGCTGAGCTTCTGCAGGGCCATGTCCAAAGAGGCGCGGCAGCTTAAGGCGGCGCTGGCGCGGCAGGGGGCGTTATGCAAGGCCTCGGCGCGCGGATTTTTTCGGCGGCCCAAAAAACAATTCGGAATTCCAAGATGGAAGCCTGGTAAGTGGACACCTGGACCAAGACCTGCAGTTTGAAGCCCCTCCCCTTAAAATTCTCCAGGCACACCCTGTGGGTGGAAACTCAGGGGGGGGCCGAAAAATCGATCCGCACGGATCCCTGGCTTCCTTTACCTGCAATATCTAGGGCATCCGTGGCTGGGCTTTCGTGGATGCCGTTCCCAAAAGGCAAAAGGAACAGGCGTGGCTGAAATACATGGACGGCACGTGCGAATGCCTAGAATCTTCCTGAAACCAGTGGAATCCCATCCACAAAAGGAAACTGTATGGGTGCGACATCGGGCGTCTGGCTTCATATGGCAAATGGCTGTAGAAATGAAACGGCCCCTTGATACCGGAGAAGGCCTTTGCCATGACCATCTTAGAAAATGGCCCGTCGTCATCCTTCGTGTGTCTCATCAGACATAGGAAGCCCTTGCTTCTCCATAAGGCAGATCCTCGTATTAGGCCATGGGCGGCCTACTTCTCATTTCAGGATCCTTCTGGAAAGACTTGAAAGAGCCAGAACAAAAAAAGTTTCTGCAGATTGCTTCTGTTCAAAACACACACACACACACACACACAAACATGCCGGAAAAAAACGGGGATTCAACCCCAGACCCATCCCACTCGTGCCCAGCCGCAGGCCGGCACTTTGCCTTCTTATCATCCCTCTGCTCGGGGCAATGCCGCTGGCACCTCTCCAGCTTTCGCCGCGAGAGGCAGCTCGAGCCCAGGAAGGACAGCCTGTGACGAGGCCGACTGGGTGCCTGGAAAGCGGAAACCGCAGCTTTTGTCTTCCCTCGAAGCTTGCTTGAATTTGTAAAGGCTCGGAGCAACCAAGCCGTGGGAGGAGACCAAAGGTCTAAGTGTGCTTCTGAAAAGGACCTCGCAAACCTTCCGATAGACAAACATGAGTCAGAAGCTACTCGTAGCGACCCTGATACTCACTTAGATCTAGATAGGGATTAATGGCGGTTTGCAAATCGTTCGCGCCTCTAGATCTTAATTCCAGCATGAAGTTTCCTGTATCACATGTCTGCAGAGCAGGATGATGCTTATCTGAACTCATATTCCAGCAAGCCCGGAGCGCAGCCAAAACTTTGGTCGCGAAGGCTCAAGGTACACCTAGAAACCATTCCCCAAACTTCAGCCGGAATCCAACATGTCAGCCAGAATGACATATCCGGAAGCAAGAAACACACCAAATCTGGATTGCGGGAAACATCAACGGCAAGTTTGGGGTGGTTCGCCGGCTATTTGCGAAGAAGCTGCAAGCAAATATGCAAAAATCCAGCCAAACCGCAACTTGCAACATATTGGAGGGGTTCGATTTTCGAAAAGGTGTGTTGCTCCAACACGGCAACTAGAATCTTGATGAAGCCTACTGGCCGGCCAAAAGGGCCCAGTGCCAAAATCAGGAAACACCCCCGGCCAACAAAAAGTTCCCTCTAAAACCAACCCCAAAAAGGGCACCCTGTTTAAAACAAACACCGAAAAGTCCATACACTCTTTGAATGCTAGGAGCATGGACTCGTCGACGCGGAGGCTCCTGATCTCATCGAGCCGAGCAAGGGCAACATCGATGTGCCCAAGGAACTGCATCATGCGGGACACTGATGCATCTAATCATAGCCTGGAGCCAACATGGCTGCGGCCATGCAAAATATGAGTAAAACTGCCCCCACAAAAAGCAACAACACTGCAACAACATATATTTGGGGGTTGATCAATATTCCTGGCCCCCAAGCGACCATGGGTAACTTTTGCCGGGAAAGATCATCTTTTGGTGGTTGTCCTCAATGGTCATCCCATGTAAAGGACCTTTTGACCAACACCCATGTTGAAAGGATGGAACCCCTGTTGAATTCACTAGCACCCATTGCGTCACCGAGGCTAGGAGGCTCCCGGTCATTGTAAACATTGTGGGAATTGCCAGAGTTGGAATAGATCCACAATCGCAGAGTCAAGTTGCCAACTAGACAATCCCCAGCCTCAGATTTTAGGTTCTTGACTTGGTTGCTGTTGACCCCTCTGCAAAGAGTTTAACTTTTTGTGGGTTTAACGTCTAAAGATCCAACCCAATAGCAGTGAAGCTGAATAAGATAACACCCGTATGTGAGGTCTGAGGCCCGCTATTAACAAGCGCCGGGGACGGCAAGGGCTGGGATGCTGGGATGGGCCCTGGTTTAGGCGAAGCTTGGGACCATCCCCTGACAAAGATGGCCCATGTCAGTTGATGGGAGGGAAGCCGCCTCCAAAAACAGGCGCAAGAACGGATCTGCGGGTCTGGGGGTGTCATCACTTGAGCAGCACCCAAACCCATGGACTGTTGGCTCTACCAAGATGGTCACACAAATACAATAAAATACAATAGATGTATATATATATATATGTATAATATACATATTATACATATTATACACATATATATATATATATATATGTATATATATTAACATATATACAGTCCTCACAATAACCCGCATAAAACCAATGTGGTAGAACCACCTAAAGCTGTGCCCAACATAGTTGCATCCTCAAACTCATTCTCATGATTGAACGGGGTGGGTCAATCATTTGAACCCTAAAAAATGCGATGTGGGGCTACTTTGAGGGGCGCAAAGTCTATCAAGCCTGCATGGCGCGATACTTCTTGACCCCCACAAAGCCGGGTAACCTCGGTTGCTTTCTGCTCCCCTGCGAAAAGTGAATAACTGTTGGTGGTTTCATTGGAAAACTCATGAGTTGGCAAAAAGCTCAAGTCCCAATTCATCCAAGCAACATGCACCAGAGTAACTACAAAACCCTATGGCCGGGCCCACTTGAGAAAGCCCGGCGGCCGCAGGCCCGCAGGCCTTTGGCCTTCAACTCGCAGGAAGCTGCTTGGTACGCCTCCAGCTCCTGGCATGGGTCAGCCCAGTGGAACCCGGGTTTCTTTTTGGGGTGCCCTGATTCGAAGGCATTCCAGGGGTTCTTTTCGAAATCAAGAGGAAGGCATCCAAATTGAGGGCTACTTTAAAGAAGGTGCTCTGCGTTTAGGGACTGTTACAAAGAAGTCAAGAGTCCTTCGGCATCCCTCTGAAGAGGTTTCTTGCTTCAGACTTTGAGACATAACAAGCTCCAACCCCCAGCCCCGTTTGAAGATTCTAGTTCAGACTCATAGACGGATTTGTCCTGGAAGTTGATCCGCCTTGCCTGCATGATAATGTCCAAATGAAGACCCTTTCAGCGGGGTCCCGGTCCTCGTCCACAGCCCCCAAAACGGGAATCCTGCCGCACATTGATTGCTGTCTTGGAATGGTAGCTGTGTCATGGCAAGTGCAATACTTCCTAAGGCTGTGAGAGCCTGCGCTCGAGGTCTGTTGGTTGCTTTTCCCAGGGAATAAATGGGAGATGGTTGCAACCCTGAGCCTTCCAACTCCACAGGCTGGCAGGAACACGATGGAACAGCAGCCGGTCGAGCGGGATGAGTATTTTCCGTGGAGTGGAAACTGACGGAAGTGTCAGCTTCCCACCAACTGGTGTAACTGGTGGTGTGGAGCCCGGCGGTTTGGTGGTTCAAGAGTGGCTTCCCATCTACCCTCTACAAGAACCAGGGCTCAACTCCCCAAATCACCAGAGAAGCAGAGAAAAGCACCCGGGAAGTGGGTGGTGGACGAAACTCGACAACTTTTTCCAGTGCTGTGCACTGGTCCAACTTTGCGCCTTCTGTGCTGACACCTCGCAGCTCCGCTCCTGCCTGGCAGGAAGAAACAAGCCACTGGAGGGTGTGGCTAGTTGGGATACCATCTAGGCGAGTCTTTGTTTGGGGTAATTACCCCCCTCCTGTTGGGTGGTTTTAAGTGGCAAACAAACGCAAATAGGAATCGGTCCATGTGATAAAATGAATTTCCTGTGGATTTCCCTTTGACCACTGAAAGAAATTCCTCTATGTTGAGAAACACTCGTGCTTGACGCGAATCCATCTGTGGATTTGCCCTTGGCACGTACCCAAAGAGTGCTAGAGCGCAACAAATCACGGTTCTTCCACCAGTTGCGTGGATGGTCAACCCAATTAGGTTGGTTGCAAACATGATGAAATCTGTCCATCAACCTCCGTTGTCGCATTCATTTCTTATCACCCGAATGTTCTAATCTATACGCATTAAGTTGGCAGAACATCCAACTAGGCTTGTCTTCGAGCCTCTTTTCCAGGCCAGCCGATGAACATCGATGAACTGTTTACACCATCTCGATCATTCCACACCCTTTTCTGGGTGAGCTTCAAGGCGACACCAGGCCCACAGCACAACCAGCAAGGACCCGAGCAAGTCAAACTCTCACTTCCTGGATGGCCCTCTCGATCAAAACAAAGTCCTTCTACGGACGTCTTCGCACACTTTTCTCAGCGCTCGTGTAGCGATCGCACGAACTCAAACAAGCCACGCACCTCTCCCGCAAGCCAAAAGGCAACTGCCTTTCATGTAAGCCATTTTAACGGAACCTAATCCCTTTGATGTTGTCAAGTAACCATGGATCAAGTGGTTGCGGGTGGCTTAGGGATCAATCGGGTGAACCATGAACCCACAAAATTGATAACGGGATCCTTTACGGGCCACGTCATTTTCTACGGAACCCTTCCAATGCCTGCCTTACGATCTGTCCTTCAACTGCACCTTGCGTGGTCCGAGGCTCTCGTTCTGAAAATGGGGCCTGTCAAGAACCCGACGTTGGACCTGAGGGCATTTTGTCCGTGCTTCTCAAACCAAATCCCCTTGTGAAACGATCGATTTCAACCACTTCTGTGAAACCTGAACACCTCCCCTTTGTTGGATCGACTCAAAATGAGCAATGCCACCCCAAAAGCGCAATGTGCTAAGAATGTTTTCCCTTCAAAAACCACAAACGAACCAAGAAATCCCCTAAACGGACACCCTTCAAAACCACAAAAAGAACACGGGTGTGTAGTTCTCCTTCTACTTTTTGTACTTTGTTTTGTAGTGTGTAGTTTCTCCTTTTACTTTTTGTTTGTCCGGTTTGTCTGGCTTCCCTACGGCGGCTTTTTTTCTTTTGCGCGCCGAGAGGTGGCCGAGCCGAGATGTTCAGTTGCCGATGGCTTCCCCGCGCGCCGCTTGGGCCACCAGTCGTAGCTTCTCGGCACCGAAGAGCATGCAAAGGATGAGCACCTCACGTCCAACAAAGCATAATACAAAGAATCATAATAATAATAATGATAATAATAATAAAAATAAAAAAAATAATGATAACAATAAAACATTACAAAGATGATTGCAAAGGTGACGTCCCACAAAAAACAAAGAAAGAAGAGCAAATGGTTCAGCGTTTGGAGACCTGAACAAAGATGAATGCCAAATTGAAGAGCCTGCGGGTCCAATGTTGCGCACAGTGAGGTCTGCACTGCAAGTTTCGGGGCGCATGACCTAAGAGGCTCCAGCTGTCCAGCTAACCTGGCAGAACACGAAATGTTTGGGGGTTTGCTTTTTTAGTGGGAACCCGCCAAGCAAAAAAGGAAATCAACGGTGCCACTGAACGCCACTGAACAACAGACCCATGAAGAGCTATCCAATGCTTCTGCGAACATGGATAGATGCGGTTGATTAGGGGGCTAAATCCCCTAATAAGACAACCAATGGTTTGACCTTTTGGCCACAGGTCTTCAAGCTAAGCCCAGGGATTCAGTCTCTTGTTGTCAAGGGTGCAAGGAACCTGTCTTCTTGCCCCAATCTGAGTCACAATCAAACCCTGGTATCACAATGGTCTACCAGAACCATTCAATCAATTCAGAAGCTGGCCGTGCCTTTTCTAGTTGGGTGTGGGTCAAAACAAGGTACCCAAAATGGATCCCTGATAAATGGAAACATGGACTAAAACCGAAAAGGTCCCTTGGTGGTGTAATTTTGACCCATACCCAGTTGGGACCATCCCTAACCTTCATCTATCCGGGTTTTGATGCAAGGGCGGCAAGCTGCGCTACACTTCACGTGACGTTCAAAAGGGATCAGAGCTCTGGTGGGTTCCATTTAACGTGGACACGAGGCTATACCCGGTCGGGTTTGTCACAAAGTCTCAGAATACGGGGGACCCCCCCGCCAGGCAAATTGTGGTTGTGCTTTTGGCTTCCCATTCAACATGGATGGTTGTCCCTTTTCAAAACCAATCCCCAAAGGGGGATACCAACTCCAAAAAAGACACACCCACACACACGCCCTTGAGGTTTCCCTTCACGTAAGCTAAGAAAAAAGAAGAAAGACATCCGCCATTTCCGGGAAAAACTTTGCCAGTCCAGGGCTCGCCGTCCACATGCTCCTCCAGGTCTAAGATCTTCTCCTCACACTGTGAGAGGCTGCCCGGTTTTTGGGGTGTCAATGGAAAACAAAGGAACACCACCCATGTAGGGAAATCAAACACTTTGGAGACAAACCCAAATTGTTCCCAAGATTGAATGAAATCATGTCGCAACTGGGTTCTGCTAGTACCTTGAATGTTGTCAAGTTTCCTCTGCTAAAACGCGGCCAAACGCAATGTCCCCCCCCCACTGCTTCCGTACCATGATTTATGTCACCGACAAAAAACAAAACATCCGGGCACAAAAGCGGGCCAAGCAAATCGGGGAAAGCTAAAGCGGACCAGCAAATCCGGGCAACCATTAGCAACTCCTTGTTTGACGTGGTGCCCAAACCAGGCAATTTAAGACAACTTCTTTACAAACAAGTAAGGCTTGTGATTTTGCTGGATGTGGGCCTTGGGGGTCGCTTTGATGTCCGGACATGACATAAACTCCCTCTTAGCCACTTCGCTTTTTCAAGGCGCCCCCAGTGTGAACTTCCCACGAGTTGGTGGTTTGGAGCCGAACCGGCGGTTTGGTCGTTAAGGAGAACCGTCCCGTCTATACAACCCATCCCAAATCACCAATCCAAACAAAAACAATTGAGGGTTACCTGATTTTAGATAACTTCTATAAACAAAAACAAACAAAACCCAGTCAGCCACAAGGGAAAGGGGAGTGCCCACGGGAGCCAGTGATCCGCTTACTATGACAGTTTAGGGGTCTTCTTTAATGTCCTTAACCACGTATTGGGAAACCTAAAAGCAAGACCTGGCAATGCTTGATTCAAACTAGGCGATACAAACTAAGCACTGGGAATCGAAAAGTAAGTCCTGGCAATACTACATTTAAACTAGGCAATACTGAACCAAGCTGAACCAAGTACTGGGAATCTAAAAGTAAGTTCTGGCAGTACTGAATTTAGACTAGGCAATACTAAGCCAAGTACTGTGAATCTGAGAATATGATCTGGTCATACTAAGTTTAGACGAGGCAATACCAAACCTTTGACTAGGCAATACTAAAATAAGTTCTGGCCATCCAACAGGACGTGTCAATGCTAAACTAAGCACTGGCAATACCAAAGCAATACTCAAGTCAAGCTCCCTGCCAGACCGATATTGAGGACCCGGAGCAGTGTCTTGACTGTTCCGGGAAGGGGGGGGCAGTCCGACAGTATAATAATAGTATAATGATTCACGGGTCCTAAGAGGGCTTGTCCTCATCTACAGTTCGGAGTTTGCGGCTTATTATATATATATATATACACATATGTACACTGGCAATCGGACAAGTACACAGTCAGGTTGTTCTGGGAAATCGAGGTCTGCCGCTCTCCGCCCTGAAACGGCAATGACTGGACATCATGAACGAATCTATGACCCACGGACAATACTCGTCGTTCATTCGTGGGTTGTCGCCAATACCCAGTGGCACTCCCTAAACACCACCGATTGTGCAAGTTGCACATATATGGGTGTTGCTCAAACTAGTGGTCCCCTGAACAATTTCAAAAAAGGGGGTCCACCATGTTGAAACAAACTCATATGAATCCTCATGCCTGACTGAGCTCTCACCTTCAAACAAAAAGGTTGGAGCCCAGTTGTTGGGGTCCAGAACTGCAGAACTTCACCTTGGTCGACTGTGCTTTTTTGAATGGGCACATCCCCACACAAAAGAAAACCATGTACCCTCCCACCAATTTCACCTGGAACCTGACAGGGACCTGGTCCCTTTACAAGGGAAATGGTCTTCCAGGACACCCCTGGCAGGTTCCAAGTTAATTGGGAGTACCAACATGAGGCTTATTCTTACCAACAACCCAATGATGGCTTGATTTTTCCCAAAAATTGGGGATTTCCAAACATGATTGGCTTTGCTTTGGCTTTCCGAGAAGTATCCCGACTGGACTCAGAGCAAGTTCCGAATGTGACAAGTACGATCGGGGCGTCGAGATTGAGGGTTCTTTTTGGGATCGCCTTTTGCTTCGGCAGCACAAGGCAGGGGGCGGCAGAGTCCGAAACTCCAAAAGGATGTATTAGCCATATTTGGCTGCGGCTCAAAAAAATGGTACCAAAATGGAACCCTGGTAAGTGGAACCAAAAACTAAAACCTGCGTAACCCCTTCGGTTTAATTTTGCGGTTTTGGGCGAACACGAAGTAGCCCAGGGAAGCAAATGCACGATGTACCCAAAGCACCCGGAAACACAACTCGGGTGAAGCTGTGGATGATGACCGGGTTGAGGAAGTGACGGTTGACAAGGGAGAAGTATGGGGAGGTTAGAAATCAAGTTGAAGAGGATTAAGTTCAATACCAAGCCCAAGTAGAACAGCGCGACTCACCGAGCACCTCCTACACCCAGCCGCCCGCGGCCCCGACCCTTTTCGGCTCGAGGACGAAGAAAGCTGCCAGTGAATGGCGCACGAGCGTGAGTCCTATTCCCACTTGACGGGAGGTAAAAACTTGAGCCAAACGGCCGTTCGGCCGTTTTGACATATGAAGAAACAACACGTGAACAAAACACACCCCCCTCATCCGATATCTGGACAAGAGAAAGGATGCGAGACAGTTGAGTTCACGACGAAAGGGACCAACCAAAAATGCCGGTGTCAACTCAGAGGTGAGCCAACGGCAGCACCTGGGCCCCAGTTAAAATCCCGCCACCACCCCGAATTAGCGGGGCGACAGGATTATTTGACGAGTGGGCCACATGAGTGAACAGAGACATTATGGAGGAACCAGACGAAGATTCCTCTCGTGCCGTTCATGCATTGTCATGGGACAACAACATGCGGAGGGGGATCCTATCTGGATCACCGCGCCTCACTGCACGCCGCGAAGTGGTTGGAGTGGTAAACGAGTTGGGATCACAGAAGAGAAGGACGTTCCGAAATTGGTGTGAAAATACCCGGCTACGGCCGGCCCGGCACTTCTAGTGCGGTCTCAGCCTCACACAGGATCGCCAGGGGAACCGTCTCCGGCGCGCACGGCAGCGGTGCGGGAGGGACACGAGCAACGCCGGATCAGCGGTACAGGGCAATGGAGACCATCACCCCCAGCAGCGCCGCATAGGCGAGAGGAGGACCGGCGCGGTCGCGTTTCTCGGCGACACACGTACTATCCTCGCCCTTCTAAGGCGGATGCTGATTGCGGTACCCGCCTACCACCCTGAACCAGGTTCTTCCCGGTCCCTGGGCACGTCGTCTCTCCGGCGTCCACCACGGTCACCTCGATCACCTCCTCCATCCCGACGGCGATCCTCACCACCACCCCTATTGTGGTCTCCAGCCGGAGGTCGGCGAGGCGGAGGGGGATCTGATTGGTGACGTCGGTCATCCCTGCGCCGGTCCCGGTGGCGATCGCGACGGTCATCACCCGGGTCATCACGTCCGCGGCGCTCATCTCGCCCCGGACCGCGCCTCTCGGAGGTCTCCTCATGACGTGGAGGAGGTCGGCGATCATCGCGTCGGCCTCCGCGGGTATCCCTGCCACGATCATCCCTTTGTCGGGGCGGGCCAGGATCCTCGCGTCCACCTTTGCCAGGTCGATGTTTTCCTCGACCCTTCCCCTCACCCTTAGGACCGCGACGATCCTCGCGGGCCCCAAGCGCGGTCCTCGACCGATCGTCATCTCGGCGGGGCCGCGACTCATCTGCCGCACGAGTGGTCCGAGGCACACCCGGGGGAAGCTCCCACTCGTCGTTGTCGTCATCGCGCGGATCATAGCCGCCGCGGCCGCCCAAGGAACCGGTGGCATCCCGTGGTGGGGACGCAGGAGTTCCGGGACCGCCCGATCGAAGACGAACTCGGGGAGCCGCGTCCTCGCCGGTAAAAGGATCCTTCTGGGTGTAGAAACCCTTGGTCCTGCCCCTTCTCTCCCCACCTTCCACACCGCTTCTCGCGGGGACCGGGGAGGGACGGGCAGGCTGGGCCATGCTCTTAGAGCTGGGTTGCCCGCCAGGCGGGACCTGAACGCCCCCCTGCCCTTTTTCGGGCGCGGGGACCCGACCATGAGATGTCCTCCTGGCCTTGGGTTGGTCGGACTCACCCTCCAGCTCGGACTCGGTGTCAGGGACACGAGTATTGATGGCCGCGTCCTCGTCCTCAAAAGGATCCTCAGCCGTCGTAACGTCAGCCGCAATGGGAGCGGGAGGAGGAGGAGGAGGAGGAGTTGGTACAGCATCGCCAGGCTTGACGCCCGCACGCGACACCACGGGAGTCTCCGGTTCTACCGGGACAGGTGGCGCAGGAGGAGCCGGGGGCAGCGGCGGAGGGGGAGGGATTTCCTCCTCGTCATCGTCCATGGGCTCGTCAGGGTCGTCAGACTTCTCTTCCTCGCCGCACGAGGACCCATCCGATCCCAGCTCGTCCTCCGCAGATCCAGCAAAGTCGGGCTCGTCTTCATCCTTCACGCCGGGGCCTGGTGTAAGGCGTATCCCGGGCCGATAACGATCGCGAGGTCGGAAGCGGTACTTCCGGGGCGTAGGGTCGGACAGCTCCTGCTTGATATCATCCTGGGTTTGAGGACGGTCAGCCAGGCAGGTGTCGTAAGCAACGGTGGACGTCCGGTAGATCAGATCGTCCATACTGCTGAGGTCGTTGAGGGTGTAGACGTACCCCTTCTTAACGCCTTCCCGTATCTTGTCCATAGCCCGCTTGAGGCGCGCGGCAGGATCGAATCCGGCCCTTCTCCGCATGGCCTGCAATATCCCGCAGTGCTGAGCGAGCAGCCTCATCTGGAACTTGAATCCCTCCCCAGACATATCGTTGGGGAGTATCGGAGAAAGATGTCCTGATCTCAGCCCAATGATATGGGCCTCAAGAATGTAGTAGGACGTGTAAAAGCCGCACCGGTTGGCGTTGAAGTTTGCGGTGGTTAGGCGTCTGCCCCATTCAGCCGCATACCCTTCATACTCCTCGAAAAAGTCGGAGACGGAGCTCCCGTTGAAGGCAAGACCTCTTACCAAGATCGCCTTTGCAACCCAGTCTTCCACGTTGTGGT